CTTGCAGACTAAATGTTCATTCATCTTTCTCGCCACATTCATCATCATCATCATCATCATTATCATCATCATCATATTCTTTAGTACCGTCAAGGTTTTTTAATTCACTGATACGACCTCTGGTTACAACAGATCATTCAGACTTTAAGTTGTGTGTCGTTGATGAGACACGTAATATGATTTATGCAATGTCAGAAGATTATATTCAGGCATATTATGTGACTAAAGATAAGAAAAACAATTTAGTCTCTGTAGGAAGGTTTTATTTAAATGACAATCAGGAGTTAGATGGAACTTTCATTTCAATATGCCCAATATTAAATACTGATTCGCCATATTTTTGGTTATTAGCCATCACAAATAGAGGGTATCGTGGTTATTTTACATGTTATACTGATGGTGATTCATGGCCACCTTCTAATATATCTGTCGAAGAATTAAGGAGAAAAAAACCTAATGGTTTATATTTGGTTGAATCACACAAACCACCAGAAGAAATTTTGCAAAAGTTTCAACAAAAACTAATTTCAACGTCTATTAAATGCAAATATTTTCATAAAACTCTTTTCATAATAGAGTCGGATGATATTCATCAACATTATCAATTATCATGTATATATCCTAATCATGGATTAATTCTAAAGTATTTAGATACATCACGCAATCAATCATATTTTTCAGAATATTTCTTTACCATGTCTTCTAAAAAAATTTATGACATAAAAGAAATTTACGATCCGTTATATAATCCAAAGAATTTTAACGAGTATCCGTGTGATTTGATTAGTCAATACTTTATTCCTTCACGAAAATTTCTTTTTTATACATCAGAGGGGATAGAAATTTGGACCAAGAAGATGCCTGTTGAACAATTAAAAGACCTATTCGCAAAGAATGCTGGTACGCAACTATTAAATGATTTTCGTGAAAACTATCAACATATAGAGATATGCTCAATGTGTTTCTTATTAACAAATGATGAGGATTCTAACAGATTATTAAATTTCTACAAACCACGAAATTATCATTTATATTTTGGTTTCGTCTTATTTTTATCAAGAACGCTTAGACCTATTTGGAAAAAAAAAGTTCTTAGAAAAGTTTTCAATGGAAATATTTTGGAAAGCGTAGATGCAAACATTCCAAAAGAAATTCTTGTTAGCATAGAAAATAAATTGAAAAGGGTGAAACGATTTTGTGATAATTATTCATATTTAGCTCAAAAAAAATCTCCGCCATTATCAAGCTTATTATCGACTCCGAATCTATTATCATCATCACCATCATTAGTGCCTTTATTGCAAATATTAGACAGAGATGAAAATCCTTCAACTACACAACAGCAGAAACAAGATTATTCTTTTCCTGAATCAAAAGATCTTGACGATTTTCTTTGTATAATTTCCAACGCTATTTCATTTATAATATTGATGATTGATTATGGTTTGTCAAAAGCTTTTGAAAAAATTCCAGAAAGTTCACAAAAGGTCATCATTGATTCAACATATGACCAATTAATTCTTGATGAGGAAGTGAGGAAGTGTTGGCACGATCTGCCTCTAGCCATAATCAAACGTTCAACTAACATGCAATCTAAAGAATTATACAATAATCTAAAAAATAGATGTGGAATGTATTGTGATGAATTCGAATGTTCTTTGTATGAAGGTTATGATATGTTACAAAGATTCAAGAAATCCAAAAATATCATCATCAGCAGCAGCAGTGGTGGTGGTGGTGGTGGTGATAAGGATGATCTTTTGCAGAATTCATTGAAAAAATTGTCAAATTCTTGGGAAATTATAACATTTGGTACGTTGGTTGATATATGTCAAGAATACAGAGATTTAGATTTTTATGAAGGAGCTATGGATTTATTGATTACAGAGTTAACCTCAACAACTAAAGGACAATTAAAAAGTCAACGAAATCTACTAATTAGATTGATAATTGATACATTAAAAGATGCTGGTGTATTTGAAGATGAAAATAATTCTGAACTACACACGCGACTCCAATCGTCACCATCGCAGCAGCAGCAGCAGCAGCAATGGAAAAAATATCAATCAAAACTTTATGAATTTAAAATGATTTTAAACTATGTCACAGAAAATGATGACAAAGAATTAATATTTGTAATTTATGATGAATTTTTAAAATCAAATACTATTCAAAAACTTTTTGATCAACCAACACCATCCCTCCAAGAATATTTAAAATCATCAATGAATGAGAGCCTAACTTCGATTCATGTATTAAAAAAAACAAAAGCATTAAGCAAATTTTGTATTATTCACCATCAATATATCGAGGCAGCTGAGGTTCTGATTCGATTAGCCGAAACAACAACATATGAAAAATTGAAATTACATGAGCGAACATCATATTTAATTAAAGCGAGACAACAAATTATAAACGCGATTGAACTGTATGGTAGTCGGGGCGATGAGAATAGTATCAAGTTAAACGATTTATTAGAAAGATACTGGGTAAAATTAAGTACAGCACATATACAAAGTGATATTTTAAAGATAATATCAGGGATACCAGAGAATGATTACAACACCAAAGCAAGGTCCTTAAATAAACCAACAAAAAAACAAACAATCAAAATTCTGGAGCAAGAATTGATTGATGGAGAAAAATTGTTATACGATTTTGTTTTACCGTATGAATTGTTTGAACAAGAATTGGAATTGATACGTTTGATTGATAAAACACCGAGTCCCGCGGTGTTGGAAAAAATATGGAGAAAAATTATGGAGAATGCAGTAAATGTTGCCTATGCAACTGGATCTTTGGAGCCAATATCTATAAAAATAATAGAAGCCGGTAAAAGGTTTTATCCACATGATCAATATTTATTTTCTTTAAGTACTATAACAAGATTATTATCACTTTACATAATCTCTAATTATCATCAACAATTGCTTCTACAACATTATCAACAACAACAATATTACCACCATCATAATCAGCAGCAACAGCAACAGCAACAACAACAACAACAGCAACAACAACAACAACAACAAAGTCAAGGAACACATGAATTAGTATTTAATGATGGTTATATTACAAATTTATTTAGAGAAATTAATATTAAATACAGTGAGATATTTATGAATTATGAATGTTTATTTGAATATAGAATTGATCCATTCGATTCTGAGGAAGGATTGAAATTATTGTTGGACGAGATAGTATATTTGCTTTATAAATGGATAGATGATAAGGTGGAAAGTAAAGATATGGATATTAGGAAGATGCTTCAATTGATTTCAAAATATGAACACGCAGCTAGCAGTTATCATCGAATATTTCAACAGGATTTGTCATTCAAATTTTTAGATATTCAACAAAAACTTGAAAATATAGAAATGAAGAGTTATTTGTATACTAGTTGATTTTTGGTGTGGCTGGCTACATATTTATTGTAAATAGATTGGTTTTATAAAACTTATTAGAATTTATATAGAAGTCAGTAAAATAATAATAATAATAGTCAAAAATCTTAAATAAATAAATGAATTGATATATATATAAATTTATTTATATTTTGATTATGTTAAAAAAAAATTAAATTAAAAATTTAGAATAATCCTCTTCATATATCATAAATTTTTCCCTTAATATTTTTTTAAATTAAATTTATAAATATACATTCCATGTCTATTTTAAATCTGCCTTAATATCATCACAAATGTTATTATAATAATATTATTATCATCACCATAATCATTATTAATCCAAAAATGAATAAATTATTGCTTCAATCATTTTCTTGGTCAGAATCTTTAACACACAAAATACTTTTTGATAATATTTTTTCTGCCATTAAAATTCTAAATTCTCTGATTTTTTGTTCATCAAATGCCTCCTCAATAATAGTCTCATCATCTATACCATCTGATAATAATTTAGCAAACATACAAACAAAAACACCACATGAATGATCATCTATCTGTGGTCCGTTGTTTCTCGTATTAATAAATTGATTTTTAAATGACCATCGATCTTTTATACAATCACCATTATTCTTGTTATTGTCATTATTATCATCGTTGCTATTATCATCATTACTACTATTACTGTTGCTATTATTATTATTATTATTATTATTATTATTATTAAATCGATGTTGAAATTCATCTTTTAAATATTGTTTAAGATTATGACCAACTGTTTTAATATGTCTGTTACCCAAAGAATCCCACAATTCAATTCTTCTTTCTCTGATTTTAATAACAGCAAGAATCCAATGTGAATCATTAACGTTTATTGGGACATATATAAATTGTTTACTAAAAATATCAATTTTTTTTGTCCATCTAATAACATTAGAATACGAATACACATTATCTTTCATCAACATTACATAAAAATATGTTGAAAATGCATGAATATTGCTTTCATATTCAGAATTGAGTATGGTGAAATATGCATTAATATGATCACACGATAACCATTCACATTTGTTAACAAGATCTTTCAATTGTTGTTGCGTTAAAGATTGTGAACCTATAAAAAGTTCTTCGGCATTTTCTTTCCTAAGGTAGGCCTGTAAACTTTTGCTTTTACCTAATTTACCATTTCTTTCCGGTGATTGGAAATATGGCGATTGCGATGATGTTTGTCTTCGATCTGCTCTTTGTAAACGTCGTAGTTTTGGTGGTGGTTCTAGTAAATAATCATCTAGTCCGTATGGAAGAGTTTCCATTTCCTGCTGGTGTTCATACACCTCTTCGTCCTCATTTTGTTGTTTATCAAATTTTAATCGTTTTTCTGGTCTGTGGAGCGATGATGGCGGTGATGATGGCGATGGTGATAATATTATTGGTTTATTGTTACTGATACGTTTCCTTGTTAATCTTGAAGAAACTATTTTATTTATAAGTAGCATAGAATTACAATTATAATTATGTTAAAAAGTAAATTAATTTATACAAATTATAACTTTATATCTTTATTTTTGTCATGTACTTGTATTTTTTGGTGGGCAAGATCTTTGACTAAAAATGAAATTAAGAATGTAAGTTTCTTTGCCATGTTAAAATTATATGATAATTGTTATATATATGTATGTATGTATGTATTACATTATTTTTCAATATTTACCTTTTTCTCTCTTCGAATTCATTTTCATTGAAATCAAATACATCTACAGAACAAACAACTTCTTCAACATTATTATCAACATTTATAACCGCAAGATTAGTTGACGTCGAGTCCATTTTTGTAAAATGTTTGTAATCTATTGAATTATTATTATCAAATTGTTTCTTTGTTAGTCAACGCGTCCGTAAAATATTTAATTAGTTACACGAATTAATATCATTATTTTTTTTTTTTGTTTTTTTTACAATTGGAAAATTTTCCAAAGAACTTTACTGATATGTTACACCTTTTGCCTGCGCCACACTCCCCGCATATTGAAACAGCAATGACGTAATGACATAATAATAACAGACTGACAATTTTATGTTCCATAATGAATTATTACTATTACCCTGTCTATAATAATAATGGGATTCCCCTTATAATGGACATTTTTTCGTAATTATAAATAGTAAGTCAAATAATCCGTTAGTTATAGAGAGTGCGAACTGTACAATTTCTAATACTAAGACATTGAAATTTTACAACTCCTAATTAGTAGTAAATTTGTAGACCTTGTTTTCACCAACATGTAAAGAAGACAGCGAGCAACATAATTATGCAAAAAAATAATATAGTTTTTTTGCTTCCTCGTACCTTTACTTTAAATTAATTGTTACGCAGATCAATTCTCAATAATCACATTCGATCGACAAAGAAATCGATTGATTGTTCATTAAAGAGAAATTTAATTATAAAAAATTGAATCGGGGACAAAAAGGGGACAAAAAGGAAATTCGTTATTATTATTATTATAGAGAAATTTTACTTAGTGTTCGTTATAATAATAAATATTTTAGTATCTGCAAATTTTGGGAGATGACAAAATATCGAAATAATATTGTTAATATATAGGACACCTAATAGAAAAACTGAAATTAATTACATTATTGATGATGATGATATAGATTTTTAATAAAATACTATATGTTTTAATAATGAATGAAATGATACCTTTCAGTATTTTACATACTTTATATGCGAAATCAATAACGTACCTTTTCAGTATGTTACAATTTTGAGATGATGAAATTAATTCAGAAGCAAGGATTATAGGTAGAAAAAAGTATTTAATTTAATAAAGTTGAAAGAAAATATGATATGAAGGGAAATCAGAATATTATCAATAGAGAACTTGTAGAATAAATTGTTTTGATTTCAATAATGATTTAGATTCCACTATTCCCAATCTTGCACTAAATTAGAAAATTTCAATAATGTTTAAATTCATCATTTATGACAGGATTAAGATGAACCAAAACGAAAGCGAATTGTGTTACTTTAAGCTTGTCTTTTTCCCATAATCAATCTAACCAATTTTAATATTTATTATGTCTCATAAAATTGGGCGTCATATATATATCTTGGTCACAATTTATGTTCATTGGCAAAATACCTTTATGCACTTTTCAATAAAAATTATATTTATCAAAGATAGATAATACCGGAAAAGAATATGCTTGGGATCAAGATTTAATTCTAAGATAATCATTTATATACATATTTATAGTACTAATTAAGTAAATAAAAAATGTTTTTGGATAATGCAAAAAAAAAAAAAATTTAAATAATAAAAATAAAATTTTACATTTAATGATAAAAAAATGTCTGTCGTTAAGAAGTTTCAATGACATCCAACATAACCATACAACCTAAAAGTAACAAAACTTCAAGTGCTCTATGTTCTTTAACATCTAACCAAGCTTCTTTAAAAATAGTTAATTCTCCAATAGCATTTCTATCATTACTATCATTAGAATTTGATGAGTTTCTTGATAAAGTTGCAATTTTTATTTTATTTTTTTTAGGAGATGGAGAAATTACACTACTGCTAAATGATAAAAATTTTGGAGTAGTAGTATTTGGAGAAGGAGATATATCATATTCTACTAATTCGCATACTAAATCACAATCCTTTGCTCCCAATTGGGCTGGTTTCCATCTATAATCCTTTCCTTCAAAATCAAAATGCCAAGTATTACTAAACGCACCTGTTCTTCTTAATTCTGCTTCTAGAAAAAATGCTTTGCTTCTTATGGTTATTATTGGTTCTCCTACTAATGATATACGTTTTGCTTCACCTATTATTAATTCATTATATACTTGTTTCAATACACAATGATATAGTGGTGAATTACTGATACTTTTTGAATATATTGTATAAAAAATAGGTTCATTATCTTCTACTTTCCCATCTTCGTTTTTGGTTTTTATTATTTCCTCATTATCATTATCATTATTGTCTATTTTATCGTTATTATCATTGTTAATACTATCATCGTGGTTGTTGTTGTTGTCATTTTCTTCATCAATTTCTTTGATACTATCATGTATTATCATGTTATCTTTTGGTATAGAAAATGGATATAAAACTTCAACCTCACCAGAGAAAGGTGAAGCACGAGCTAAATGATATGTTAACGAATCTGTGAATACATCTTTGTCAAAGATATTTAAATTATATTGACTGTTACGATTACTAGTATCAGCGCAATTTAGCCTAGAATAAGTAGTAGAAGCTTGAAATGTTGGGTTAATTGTAGTAGTTGTAGCTGTAGAAGGAGTTGTAGAAATGGTTGCTGTTGTTCCTGCTATTTTAAATCATTATTATGTGTTCGCCTAATAATTCATTTATTTAATGATAATTATTTATATTTACCTTTAGTATTTATGTCATCCTCAGTGCTAAAACTTGTCGACTCCTCTTCAGTAAACGATTTGTGAGAGGGTACCTGCCCTTGATTGACTTGATTTTTAACAGTTTTTGAAAATAATTTATTCATTTTAGAAGAAACGAAAATTAAGTTGGTGAAACGGAATCAGCGCACAAAATTTTCTTGTGGAAATTTTTTCTAATGATCGTCGGAAATAATAAAATTAAAAATATTTTACCGGAAAAATTAAATGAAAATCATAATCATAATCAGGTAATTCGGACATTTTCCGAAAGGCAAAACCTTTATCCACGCACAATGACAAATGGATAAAGGGTTTTCCTGTTCGGAAAATACCTTTTATGCGCTGAATGGAACTATACATTTCAGGATTGTGTAATTGTCAATACATAATGAATGAAACGGGTGTTACAAAAAAAAAAAAGGAGTTTTACAAAAACAAAAAAGGCGAAACACTTTTGCCGAAACAAATTTTTTACTAAAATATAATTTTTGGGAAGCATGAAATAAAAAGATTTTTACCTTTAATTCGTACACGTAGATCTGTACAGATTTAATAATTATAATTAGCTCCTATCCTAAAGTTGGAAGGATGGTTGCGATCATTGTTGTCATTCTGGTTATTTTTAATTAATTATTAATTAACGAAAGAATACAACTCAATTAAATCCGTGCAATATTTGACGATAATACTATATCTCTTAGAAAATTGTTTCGTAAAATTGATTACGTTGTATATAAACTTTGATCATTGATCATTAACAGTTATTACACTTATCCTGAAAGCGCTCCAATTTTTTAAAACGTTCAAAGGTTGTATTTATAGTAACAATAAAATATATCATTTAATTAAATCAAGCCTTTTTCAAAAACGTGGGGAAACACTTTCCCACCATAAACAATTCATTATTGTCAAAGGAATCAATCAAGCTTTTTTTGAAAATGTAAAGAAGGTAGGTACATTATTGATAATATTAAACAGCTATGACTTTTTTGAAAATGTGAAGAAAATACTTTCCAGCCACTAAAAAGGCACAATAATTATTGTTGCTCAAAATAATAATCGTAATAATAATAATAATAATAAAATAATGTGTTATATTTTTGTTGCCAAAACAAACTTCCTCTTCAGGATGCATTTGATCTGACTGTTCATAAAACTCAAGGATTGACCATGACATATATGTTTACTGAAGGGCGAGTGTATGTTGCATTGAGTGTAAACTGCAAATCCTTGATTTTGATTAAAAATTTTCTAGGGCTGTTTTAGAAGAGTATAAAATATTAGATGCTACGGGTATTGATGGTTGCAAAACTTACAACGTTATAAAAGAAAATATAATTTATATTGTTTGAATACTTGTGTGGTTATTACACGAATTCACAGCAACCTCTTGTTAAAAATTTTTATAAAAAAAAATTCTGTATCATTAAAGCTTTCAACGAATATTTTCTTGTATTCAAAGGAATTCTCTGAATAAAGCTATTAACATCCAAAAACGCTATTAAGTTTTCTTCAAGTTGAGATTACTTTCCCACGTTGCTTGATAAGTGTGATAAAATAGATGTAAAATACTCTAATCTTATTAGCATAGTGGACACTGTTGCAGATCACAAAAAAATGATCAACATAACATATGTTATGGTGAAAGTTCTTGCAAAAGTTTGATTATAAAAGTGTGAGATAATTTTGATCTTGCTGATGATCTGGACTTAGAGAGGTTACAGCTATATTCTAGTGAAGTTTCAGAAGCAACTGGGTCTGTGTAACAGTCTGCCCATTATACAAATCACTGTTGCACAAAATGAGTGTCCATTATGCTTACATAAACTGGATATTAATGTCCAAATTTTTAACAGAATCATTTTTGTCAGCATTTTCACAATTGTTATTGAAATATTTTTGGATGTAACTTGGAGTGGAGACATCGTTATTCCATTAGATTTTATTAGAAAAATCTAGGGATAATTTTTGGATTTCTTTATCCTTTATTTTAAAGTCCTTGATACTCTCTTTAGTTAAATTCAATATTCCCCAGTATGTAGGACTAAAAATTAGCGAATGAATATATTAATGAGTATGAAAGGATCATGCTTTAAGACAATAACACTAGACTTATGTCAGCACTTTATGTGCATTTGGTATTTGTTTTTGGTATTTACAAAATAATTCAATAATATTTGGATCAATGATCCCCTATTATTAATAAAACAATGAGTTTATTTAAACATGCATTCATTAAACATTTATATCAATCTTTACCTCAGAAATTCTATCATCAGTGTTTTTTGATGGTAATGGAACTTCATCTGATAATAAAGCTTCATCAACATTTTCAATGATAGATTCTTCATTAGATCCATTAAGATTAAGTAAAAATTCAGCACTTTCTTGCATTTCATTATCAAATATTACACTGCTTTCTTGTTTTCTTTTTCTTTCTGATGTATTTTCAACATTAGTACTAGTATCGCAAAAATCTTTTTCTGACTCTGCCACATTTCCCTCCAAATCATAAACATTCATTGTTGGACAAGGTGTATAATCATTCAACCCATTATTTTTGTCTGATTCTAATTTTTGAGTTATGAACTAAATATATGATGACCATATTAAAACAGATTATATCTAAAGAGCCCAGATGCAGTATGCTAAGAACCATAATACTCACATCTCTATACTCAGAATTACTTATCTGTACTTTAATAGTTTTATCTTCCATGACACTTAATCCAACATTTGTATCATATAAAATATATGATAATATATGTTTGTTAGTATTTGTTTGCATCATTATAAACAAACTTATGCTACTCGCTTGTCCAAATTTTAGTTCTTCAGCAAAAAATTTTTTATTTCATTCTGATTTCTGATTGATGGATTAAGATTTTTAAAAATTTTTTGAACCTTATTCTTTGCAGATTTAAGGTGGTTCTTTTGTTGAATTTTTTTTGTATAAAGCAGATCTCAATGAATCTATAAATTCTTCAAAACATTCATCAGTTAAATTGATCAATCCGCAACATAACGCATTATATTTATCAAACTCCAGCTAGTGTAATCTGTTTCTTCTAAATGTTTAGAACAAATAGTCAAAATCCATCCTATTTAAAAAAAAGTTAACACCAGATATGAAAGAGGAATGAAAAAATCTGGCTAAGAATAACGTTTTCTGGTGAAGAAGCTTAGGAGTAGGCTATAAAGAAACAATCCCCATAAAGGATTATATCAATAAAAGAGTATCCATGTCTTCTCACCAAGCATTGGCTGTAGGAGTCACCAAGCATATTAAATATGTGGTTAAGCGCATACAGACGTAGGAAACATTATACTGAATATACTAGAAACAAGCCCCTGGAGTAGGCTACAAAGAAGCAGTTCCTTGCAGGATCACGTCAATGAGAGTATCCACAAAACTTGTTCTAAACAGCGGACGCAAGGGTCACAAAACATTGTTTTGCTACGCTATACGGACACTGGATATTATGAATCCAGATATTAATATAAGATATGTAACATTTTTCATACTTTCCTTATTTAATTACATTCGATTTGAACAGTAACAAGCCCGGGATTTTTTTTTGTGGAATTCATAACGTAGCAGGCATTCAATTTTAAGAAATGATCGGCATTGGGTTCACAAAATAAACATAAACAGTACTAATTATAATAGAAAGCCTAGATTCCGTTTAATAAATAAAACATTTTTATTTATTTATTTAAATTAAATTATTTTTCTATTGTAAAAAGCTAAAGACATTAATCATATATATTTTTTTTATACTGATTTATTAATTATTTTATATAGGGTATAATTCTATACATCAATTAATATTAAGAAGATAGCAAGTAGGAGTTTTAATAATCAACTATTAAATTTTGATTTGGTAATACCAATGTTCACTTTGTCTGGTTTTGTTGCAGCATGCCCCACATATGGATTGATGTTTTCACTGAAATATCATTATTATATATATTGAAAGTGATCCTTGTCATGTACCTCTCTTATATCTTCATTTTAAAGAAAAGACTAATCATTTAACAATAAATACAAAACAGCATATATATTTCCTTCTGATATTTTTTTATCCTTGATAGTTAGTTGTGTAACAGCTCACCATTGATTGATTGTTTAATAACAAATACGTGTAAAAAATTAAAATTCTATATGGGTTCCAATTGTTATCATGAACTGTGAGTAATTATAATTTTTGATAATCGCAGGAACAATGCATTTTTTTTTCAGAAATAAAAACCAAAAAAATAACAAAGGAGAGATGCAAATTTTATAATTAAATTTTTTTTATAATAGTGATATATAGTTGTAAATCAATTATAATAAATAAATAAATAAAAATATACAAATAAGCATATAAAAATTTTTTGCCAAATGTTTTTTATCACTTATACTTTTTTTGTCGTTTTATATTTCTGTCAAAATTGAAAAAATTTAATATATTTAATGAATTAAAATTTGACAACAAAAAAAATCAACAACACTTACATCCTCCATTTGTGGTCTTTTGGTTGGATCCATGGTGCTTGTTAATCCAAGTAATGTTTTAGAAACTGCTTCGGATGCACCAATCATTGGCTTTAGCACTGCTACAGGAACTGCCCTGATAACAGCTTTAACTGTTCCTTGAGTTCCTGTTTTCTCATATACTTCCATTGGTACTGCAAATATTGTGTGAGTTGCTGCTCCGATATTCTGTCTTAAACTTTTATAGGCAGCTTCAATTCCTAATAATTATAACAATAAATAATCACGTTATATTATATATTTAATGTTCAATTATAAAAGTAAACTAATGATATTCAAAATACCTTCATTTAAATCAGCTGGTGGATTGGCATATTTACTTATAAGTTCTTTATCATCATCCTCTTCTTCACTATTATCCTCCAGATCTTCACTAACATTTCTATTGTTTGTTCTTGGCTGTGTTTCAAAAGAAAGAATCTCATCTGCATGTTCCAGTAAAATCTGTGTGCCAACTGCAAGTTTTGTTCCAAATTTAATAGCCTCCATAGTTGTAGCTCTTGCAAATGATTGTGTACCTTTCTGAAGACCTTGATTAATGAAAAGTAATCAGTGAATTTGCAAATTAATAACAAAAAAATCAAAATCATCATCATTATTAATATCATTGTTAACATCACTCTAAAAAGTCACAAACCTCGGATTATTCTACCATCTTTCTTATATTGTTCAATTGGCAAAAGAATAAGATCAGCAACACCAGATCCTATGTTAACTAATGATCGTATTGGGGTAACACCAGATACAAAACTTGGAACCTGTGTATTTTTTATATGTGGTAACCATGCTGCTCCTAACTCTTCAAATAGTCGTTGCCAACCTTTGACCTGGTAAAATTAGTAGGGTTTATAATATAAATTTTATAATTAAATTTTTAAAATAACAATGACAATATTTATTTTCTAAAAAAAAAAAAAATGACCTACTCCTGTTAATTTAACAGATCTTAATGTCATTTCCGCTGCTTCAAAATGGAAAAAGTTCATTAATTCTACTAGATTTCCTCCTTTCAAATTAGTATAATCAATATGTTTTGGTTTATAATCTATTTTCATAACAATAGGTTGAATTTCGAAATATTCTAAAAATTATAATTATATAAATATGTCATTAATTAACCATAATATTTTATAAATTTTTCTAAATTAACTAATTATTGAAATAAAAATAAAAACATACGAAAATATGTATCATCTTCAACTTGATTTATATTTATTGTGTTGTCTTTGTATGAAAAAAATCCAATTGAAAAATTAAGAGCATCTTGATCTATATAAAATCTAAGTGGCAACAATTGTAACTATATAAAAAAGGATCAGAAAAAATTTTCAATATTTTTTTTAAAGAAATTTTCTATTCAAATCTTAATCTTGACAATGTCTCAAACACAAACCTTTATTCGAAATTCCTCTGCAGGTTCTGAAGGTATTGAACGAATACTATTTAATTCAAATCTTATCATGTTTGATTTGCTTTCTCTAGGTTTTGTATCTTTGTCTGGATGCATTTGTGTTAAGAATTTATGCCATGCTGAAGTTTTAATATTATCAATAATCTCAATATCTTGAACAAGTAACAACAATCGAAAAGCTATTACATCATTAGCAGGAAAAATATCAAATTCCAAATTTATTTTGTCAAGCTTTATATCGAGTTTACTTTTTCTTGAGCTATTAATTCTTTGTTTGTTTGTTTGGCTAGAAGACATTTTATTAGTTACACCACCAACAGCAGCAGAAGAAGAATTTGTAATTGATTCTGGTCGTTTATTTGAATAATAATTAATGTTGTTAATGTTGTTGGTTTCACTTATTGAAGGACCTATTCCCCCTTTTGATATGCTTTCTGTAGTTTCTATGGGATTTGTTGGTGCCTTCTCGAGATTAAAGTCTAGAATTTGATCTTTTGTGTGCTTCCAATCATATCCATCATATAATTTCCATATAACATTAAAATCGTTTAATTTTATTCTTGTTAAAGATTTTGGAAATCTATAAAATTAGGAGGAAAAAGGCATGAATATTAAACAAATAAATAATAATTTAAATAGATTAATAAAATCATTACTCTTGATTGATATTTTCAAGTTCATTTGCAGTTGGCACAGAGAAATGGTCATCTTCAAAATTTAAACATTCATTATCAGAATCTAAATGTTTATTATCAGAATCTGAACTAATATCATCATCAAATGTAATATCAGGCTTGATATTTTTTTTTTTATCCGGCTTGGAAGAAACTAGAAATACATATAAATATATATAAATTTCAAGAAATAATTATTGATAGTAAAATAAAATAAATGTTAGTTATTACTACCTTCATTAGCATCATCCATTATGATTTTCTCATAGTCTTCTTTATCATCTTCTTCTGTGCCATAAAATTTTTCATCAAACTCCAAATTAGAATTTGATATTTCAGGATTTGATGAATTTATCTCCAGGGGGGTAAAGACATCCTCTTCAATAATTTTTTTAAGTGCTAAATAATTAAAAGCAAATTAATATTATAGAAATAGAAATATAAGACATTTATGTTTAAATAATTACCATCAAGATTTATATCTTTTCGATGAAATCTTTCTTTTCGATTAAGTGGAACTCTGATAATTTGTCATTTTTTAAAAATAAAATAATCATAAATCACAAATATATAAAGCGAATAAATATATTGATGGATGTTTTCTTTTTACATACTTTGTTTCAGATGTACCATTCTTTGATGTAATGTTAGTCATTAAAGCAATTAAAGTTTGAAATGCATCTGCACATGTCTCTATTATAAGATTTTCATTTGTAAGTTCAAGCTATAGTTTTATTGAAGTTAGATGTTTATAAATATTTAATCAATCGATAATTAATGATAATTAAAATTAATTAATTACCTCAAAGTGTGGATATATTTCACCTTTATTTGTTCGAAGTAATATTTCAGCAAAATCTAAAGAGGCTGTTTTAACAAATCCTAATGACTTTATTTTTGTGCAAAAAATTTTAATTTATTAATTTATTGATTTGTGTAAGTGAAAGGACCATATATAACCTTAGAATTATTTGCTCACCTTCCAATATTTTTTAACGCTCACAGATTCAGCAGAAAATCTATTATAAGGTTTATTATTGTTGAGCGATTTAACATCATCAATAAGCATTAAATCCATTCTTTGAACAATAAATTTGCAAGAAAACATAGGCGAATCAGGATTAATATTACTACACAACTAATAATATTATAATTAATGTTTG